CCCCATCCCTGGGGGGTTTGAGACTGGGATACCCTCATTCCCAAGGTCCCTGTGGGTCCAGGACCAGGAACCTCCATCCCTGGGGAGTCTGGGACAGGGACACCCCAATTCCCAAGGTCCCTGGGAGTCCAGGACCAGGAACCTCCATCCCTGGGGAGTCTGGGACAGGGACACCCCCATCCCCAAAGCCCTGAGGTCACTCAGTGTCAGTTCACTCTCATCCACCCCGAGGGACCCACGAACCAGAGCTGGGCCCCCCCGGCTGTGACCCCACGGTCCCCCCACTCACCATGTTGGGCTGCCAGCCCTCCACGTTGACACAGCGGTCGATGCACCACCAGAAATCATCCTCAGACTCTCCCTTCCAGGCAAAGACAGGGAAACCTGGCACAGAGAGAGGGAGATGTGCCAGCACGGCCTTGGCAAATCCCGCGGGATTGGCCCTTCCCACAGCCCTGCTCCCCACATCACCACGGTCCTGGCTGAGCTTTCCACATCCCCCTTCCAGGAGAAGCTTTGGACACACACTGGGAGTTGGCTTTAGCCTTCCTCACTTCCTCCTCTCCCTCAGGAAAGAGCTGCACTCACCACCAGGCCAGAGGCCGACACGCCCCAAACGATAATATTTATTTCCAAAATGAAGGTTTCCCCGAAAATTAGGTGTCCTACCCGCTTGTCAGGCATGTCAGCCCACTAATTTATTAATGAATTAATGATTTATTTGAATATATTCTGATTTATGAGCAATCAGGACTAAGCTTCAGGGAGTGAGACCTTGTAACGGGCAAGATGGTGGGTTTGGCTTATGGGTCTTCCAGGTCTCAAGGTCAAACTCTTGGCCTTACCCAGGTTAAAACCCCCAGCCTCACCCACATAAATCCCCTGAGCTTATCCAGGTAAAACCCCTGGCCTTACCCAGGTAAAACCCCTGAGCTCACTCAGGTAAAATTCTAGACCTTACCCAGGTAAAACCCCCGATCTTACCCAGGTAAAACCTCTGGCCTTACCCAGGAAAAATTCCAGACTTTACCCAAGTAAAATCCCAGACCTTATCCAGGTAAAACCCCTGACCTCACCCAGGTAAAACTTCTAAGCTCACCCAGGTAAAATTCCAGACCTTACCCAGGTAAAATTCCAGACCTTACCCAGGTAAAACCCCTGACCTCACCCAGGTAAAACCTGTTTTCAGTCTCCCAGGTGAGCACCAACACGCTCAGCTTCTTTTTTACGAATCATTTCCCCCCCTCAAAGTCTCTCTTTCGCCCCTTTTAGCCAAAGTTCTGACTCAAATTTACAGCTCTTAAATCAAATTTAGCTTTGTTTCTCTTAACAAAATAACGTCCAGCTTCAGGTAGCCCATTCAGCTCCTTAAGGGCATCACCATTATTTTGTACCATGTTCTTTTATCCTCCAGATTAAAACCATCCCAAGGTTTCCAGAGCACTGGAAGGGATGGATCGTGTGCCGTTACCTCGTACGGGTTTATTCTAAACCAAAAATAATTAAGGGGAAAAAACCCTAAGAGGTGAAAAACGAGATAAAACCAAAGAAATCCTTTTATAAAAGTCAGGAATAACGAGGAGGGAGGTGTTTCCTACCACTCTCAGCGAGGGCAGCAGCCACTTCGTTGAGGGTGGAGTAGATGTTGCAGGCGGCCCATCGGCACTGGGCACCCAACGCTCCCAGAGTCTCCATCAGCACCTGGGAACCAAAAAACACCAGGAAGATCAACACAAGGAGCAACACACAGCTGGGGGGTTTGTCTGCTGTTCATGGGAAACCTTCTGGGGGGTCTCTGAAGTTGGTTTTAAGCTTCAAGGCCAGGCTGGACGGGGCTTGGAGCAACCTGGGACAGCGGGAGGTGTCACTGGACGGGCTTTAAGGTCCCTTCCCACCCAAACCATTCCATGGTTTTATGATTTTTGGGGGCCTCTGAAGTGGGTTTTAAGCTTCAAGGTCAGGTTGAACAAGGCTTTGAGCAACTTGGTCTAGTGGAAGGTGTCCCTGCCCATGGCAGGGGGTGGAACTGGATGGGCTTTTAAGGCCCCTTCCAGCTCAAATCATTCCAGGATTCAGTGATTCTCTGGGACCCCTGAAGCTGGTTTTAAGCAGCATCAGGTTTGTTAGAAAGTTGCACAGAAAACAGTTTTTCAGTTAATTTGCATTTGTGAAACAATTTTGAAAGGCTGACATAAATAAGAACTTCAGAGTACATATATTTTTTATATATATATATATGTACGTGTAGAGATTTCACTCAGCAAAGTCCCAAATCCAGCCAGGAGCAACCACTGCTGAGGGGAATTCCCAGCTCCTCGTGCCCCCATTGCCCCCCTGGGGGCAGTTGCAGGGGCTCAGCAGTGGCACAGCCCCGTGTGGGGTTGGGGGCCGGGCCTCACCGCGGTCTGGGCCGTGATGTGTGTGCAGCCCACGATCTTGGCCCCCGCCAGCGGCTTCTCCCCCTGAGCTCTCTTCCTCAGAGCCATCAGCGCGGGCATTTCTGCAGGGAGGAGGGAAAACAGGCCCATGAATGGGATGGAAAGAGGGATGAGGACGAGGACAAACAGCAGCACCACTTCTTGCCCCACTGGTTGGTGTTCCCATGAACTTGTACAGCTGGGGCAGCTTCCAAAGAGGCCAAAGCCTTGTGAGCAAGCCCAAATAAATGAAAAGGACCCAATATCCCTCTGGATTTTCTCCCTGCTATCTCGGATGAAGCACCATCCCATGTTCAAATTTCTACCTGCAAGTTCCCAAGTGAGGCTGGAGGAAAATCCGCTTCAGACTGAGGAGAACTTGGGACTTCCTGCCCTGCCCCTCTTTTCCCGTGTCCCTCCAGCTTCCTAAACCCTTTGCTATGGACTTCTGGAGATAATCAAGCTCAAATCTATTTGATGGATTTCATCTTCTCTACTAATTTTAACAAAACATGTTGGACTGTAGAACAGCCCTTCAGGAGTTGTTTGGTTGGAGCTCCTCAGCACAACCCCATAACTCCTCTCCCGTCCCACAACACCCCACCAAAGCTCTCCCATCTCTACCAGGCATCAGGAAATCACTGACACACCGAGCCTCAGAAGGGGATCTGGGGGAAGGAAGGACCCCAAAAGATGACCCAGGACGAGGTGGAGCTGGAGGGAGGCGCCCCATGTACCTTGCTCGGCGATCTCGATCTCCCGGCGCCCGAACTCGGCCTGTTTGATGTTCTTCACGCAGAAATCGCTGCTGCCTTTGGAATTCTTCTGCTGCTTGTCCCGGGGGGAGGTCTCATCGTCGGAGCTGTCCGTGTAGGAGGCAGCTGGAGGGGGGAGAGGAGGTCAGAAACAGGACAAGACATTCCCTGGGGCCAAAGCACCTGTGGATGATCCACGGCTGAGCGTGGTCATGGATGTGTTTCTCCATGTGCAGGTGCCACCTCCCTCTGTCCTCAGCTGGGATCTGCCCTTCTCCCACAGGGACCATCTCCCCAGGCAGTTTTACCTGGGGTGAATTCCTCACTCTTATCTCCTCCAACTTCAACACCACACCAGAGGTAATTAACAGTGCCCATGTCCTCCACGGGCTCATCTCCATGGCCYTCTCCC